CTAGATAATAAACTATATGGCTGTACAGCTAGATAATAAACTATATGGCTGTACAGCTAGATAATAACCTTTATGGCTGTACAGCTAAATAATAAACTATATGGCTGTACAGCTAGATAATTAACTATATGGCTGTACAGCTAGATAATAAACTATATGGCTGTACATCTAGATAATAAACTATAAGGCTGTACAGCTAGATAATAAACTATATGGCTGTACAGCTAGATAATAAACTAAATGGCTGTACAGCTAGATAATAAACTATATGTCTGTAAAGCTAGATAATAAACTATATGGCTATACAACCAGATAATTAACTATATGGCTGTACAACCAGATAATTTACTATATGGCTGTACAACCAGATAATTAAATATATAGCTGAACTGCTAGATAATAAACTATATGGCTATACAACCAGATAATTAACAATATGGCTGTACAACCAGATACTTTACTACATGGCTGTACAACCAGATAATTAAATATATAGCTGAACTGCTAGGTAATAAACTATATGTCTATACAACCAGATAATTAACTATATGGCTGTACAACTAGATAATAAACTGTATGGCTATACAACCAGATAATTAATTATATGGCTGTACAACCAGATACTTTACTATATGGCTGTACAACCAGATAATTAAATATATAGCTGAACTGCTAGGTAATAAACTATATGGCTATACACCAGATAATTAACTATATGGCTGTACAACTAGATAATAAACTGTATGGCTATACAACCAGATAATTAACTATATGGCTGTACAACCAGATACTTTCCTATATGGCTGTACAACCAGATAATTAAATACATAGCTGAACTGCTAGGTAATAAACTATATGGCTATGCAACCAGATAATTAACTTATGGCTGTACAACCAGATAATTACTATATGGCTGTACAACCAGATAATTAAATATATGGCTGTACAACCAGATAATTTACTATATGGCTGTACAACCAGATAATTAAATATATGGCTGTACTACTAGATAATTAACCATATGGCTGTACTTCTAGATAATTAACTATATGGCTGTGATAATAAATGATTGTCTTTATGGCTGTACTACTAGACCATTAATTATATGGCTCAACAACTAAATAATTTACACACTGGCTGTACATCTAGATACAAAAAACTATATGGCTGTACATCTAGATACAAAAAACTATATGGCTGCACATCTAGATGCAAAAAACTATATGGCTGTACATCTAGATACAAAAAATTATATGGCTGTACATCTAGATACAAAAAAACTATATGGCTGTACATCTAGATACAAAAAACAATATGGCTGTACAACCAGATAATTAACTATATGGCTGTACATCTAGATACAAAAAACTACATGGCTGTACAACCAAATAATTTACTATATGGCTTTACTACTAGATAATTAACTATATGGCTATACAACCAGATAATTTACTATATAGCTGAACTGCTAGATAATTAACTATATGGCTATACAACCAGATCATCTACTATATGGCTGTACAACCGGATAATTTAATATATGACTGTACAGCTAGATAATAAACTATATAGCTGTACAACCAAATAATTTACTATATGGCTGTACTACTAGATAATTAACTATATGGCTATACAACCAGATAATTTACTATATAGCTGAACTGCTAGATAATTAACTATATGGCTATACAACCAGATCATCTACTATATGGCTATACAACCAGATAATTAACTATATGGCTGTACTACTAAATCATTAATAGTTTCACTGCACTTTTAAATAATAAACTGTTTGGCTGTAGTTTAAGATAATTAACTCTTTGACTGTACAACCAGATAATTAACTGTTTGGCTGTACTTTTAGATAATTAACGATATGGCTGTACTTTTAGATAATTAACTGTTTGACTGTACAACCAGATAATTAACTGTTTGACTGTACTTTTAGATAATTAACTATTTGGCTGTACTTTTAGATAATTAACGATATGGCTGTACTTTTAGATAATTAACTATATGGCTGTACTACTAAATCATTAATAGTTTCACTGTACTTTTAGATAATAAACTGTTTGGCTGTACTTTAAGATAATTAACTCTTTGACTGTACAACCAGATAATTAACTGTTTAACTGTACTTTTAGATAATTAACTATTTGGCTGTACTTTTAGATAATTAACGATATGGCTGTACTTTTTAGATAATTAACTATTTGGCTGTACTTTTAGATAATTAACTATATGGCTGTACTACTAAATCATTAATAGTTTGGCTGTACTTTTTGATAATTAACTATATGGCTGTACTTTTAGATAATTAACTGTTTGGCTGTACTTTTAGATAATTAACGATATGGCTGTACTTTTAGGTAATTAACTATATGTCTGTACTACTAAATCGTTAATAGTTTGGCAGTACTTTTAGATAATAAACTGTTTGGCTGTACTTTTAGATAACTAACTATATGGCTGTACTACTAAATCATTAATAGTTTGGCTGTACTTTTAGATAATAAACTGTTTGACTGTACTTTTAGATAATTAACTATATGGCTGTACTACTAAATCATTAACTGTTTGGCTGTTCTTTTAGATAATTAACTGTTTGACTGTACTTTTAGATAATTAACTATATGACTGTACTTTTAGATAATTAACTGTTTGGCTGTACTTTTAGATGATTAACTATATGGCTGTACTTTTAGACAATTAACTGTATGGCTGTACTACTAAATCGTTAATAGTTTGGCTGTACTTTTAGATAATTTACTGTTTGGCTGTACTTTTAGATGATTAACTACACTGTATTTTATTTTCCTGCTATAGTTATAACTGCTGTATATGATTGTCCTACCCAAGTCTGACATACAAGAGATTTTATTGCATGGTTAACCTTCTGAGAAAAACAATATAGTTTTATAATAATGATAATTATCAGTATTGAATGTACATTAATCGAGACTGCAATATGCAAAGACGACCTTCGTTCAAGCCAGTTTTGTTCCCATCTAAATTGAAATTGCTTGTAAAGCAACTGGATTTGGTCCAATTGAAAATGTGTCCCCTTAAAACATTGGCAAGACAATGATGTGCACATTTTAGGGCAGGGACTGTTACTAAACATCAAAAACGATGATTACTACAACAAAGTCTCATCTATTCTTTCAAGAAATCTAATGAGTAATAATAATAACATTTGTTACCTTTCGGACGGGTGCCTTGGTATCAGGTGCTGGAAATCTTTTACGTGTCCAAGAAGGGAACTTCTCATAATACGTATCTACATAGTACTCGTCAGAAACCTCCCTTGTACTTCTCAGAAGTAATTGTATCATATCTGCAAAAGAAGTCACGGTAATTTGAATCAAATAACTTCATGTAATTTACAAATACACACATAAGTTGTGATCCGCCTAATGGCCTTGCTCTCTTTGCTGCGGCTGGATAGCGGAAGCAGTATATCAGGATTCTACGTTATTTGCTACAGTCATTGCCACATTTTGGGATTTTAATATTTCTGCATTCCTATCTATACGGTATATTCCAACGTTCTTGTCCTTGCACTGTATATTAAGTGTAAGATACTTGTGCGGTATTTCACCTAATACAACCATTATTTCTATTACACAATATAGGATTTATGTGTTATGAAATGCAATATTTTCGTGTGGTCCAAATGTTGTGGTTTCCCGACAAAACACCATTTCGTTGGTACATGATTTCATGGATTACGAATACCCACTCAAACGGAAAATTGCTTCATATCTTCGTGGACCTCGCGGATGAAGCAAACAGCGCCGGCGAAATCAACGAAATTTGAAACCCCACAAAAATTAGTACTTTCCGTTATATCATCAAGGTATTAGAACTAAACGGTCATAAACATCAGGAGAAGGAATAAGTTATTCCTTATATACAAAAATAGTTTATCTCCTGGACGTCTTTGAACTTATTCGTATATACCATTATCGACATTTTCAACAGTATATCGTATAAAGTTGATTTTTAAGGGATCATTATAAACCCTTGATAAACCTCATTATAAATCGCCTTCAATATTATGAAGGCTGGTCTACTCTCGTTCTTACCATACTTGTCATCCGTAGGCTGTGATATGTCAATATTCAACAGTGGTATGCGTTGCCCAGATTTATCGGAGGAAGACAGAAACACTCCTGTCACCGATGGAACTGATGACATGACCCCGGCGGGCACAGCTGTGCCTGGACTGGCCACATGGAAGCATCTTGACCACTCTGAAAGATTTGTTATTGGATAGCATCAATTTCTGAACAGCTGAAACGAAGCTTTGTACTTCAGGGGGATATTATGGTCAAAGCATTTTTCTTTTTTTCTTTTTCTTCTTTACTTCTTTCCTTTCTTTTTTTTTATGTTTAGAAGATATACCATGGTTATTGTTTGCAATCTTTCTAAAGGGCAGTGCCAAAAAACAGGCCTGAACAGGAAGATCAAACTTACCATCTCTATACCAGGCAGTGAGGCTGAGAGGTGGATCAGATTTATTACCCATATACAGGCCTGTATAGGTGAGAGGGATATCAAACTTGCCGTCTCTATACCAGGCAGTGCTGCTGATATGTGACTCAGATTTATTACCCATATACAAGCCTGTATAGGTGAGAGGAACATCAAACTTACCGTCTCTATACCAGGCAGTGCTGCTGAGAGGTGGATCAGATTTATTACCCATATACAGGCCTGTATAGGTGAGGGGGATATCAAACTTACCGTCCCTATACCAGGCAGTGCTGCTGATATGTGACTCAGATTTATTACCAAGATACAAGCCTGTATAGGTGAGAGGAACATCAAACTTACCGTCTCTATACCAGGCAGTGCTGCTGAGAGGTGGATCAGATTTATTACCCATATACAGGCCTGTACAGTTGAAAGGAACATCAAACTTACCGTCTCTATACCAGGCAGTGTTGCTGAGAGGTGGTTCAGATTGATTACCCATATACAGGCCTGTATAGTTGAAAGGAACATCAAACTTACCGTCTCTATACCAGGCAGTGCGGCTGAGAGGTGGATCAGATTTATTTCCCATATACAGGCCTGTACAGTTGAAAGGAACATCAAACTTACCGTCTCTATACCAGGCAGTGCTGCTGAGAGGTGGTTCAGATTGATTACCCATATACAGGCCTGTACAGTTGAAAGGAACATCAAACTTACCGTCTCTATACCAGGCAGTGCTACTGAGAGGCGGTTCAGATTGATTACCCATATACAGGCCTGTATAGGTGAGGGGGATATCAAACTTACCGTATCTATACCAGGCAGTGCTGCTGAGAGGTAACTCAGATGTATTACCCATATACAAGCCTGTATAGGTGAGAGGGATATCAAACTTACCATCTTTATACCAGGCAGTGCAGCTCAGAGGTGGTTCATACTGCTCTCGTTCCTGTCATAGCAAAATCATGAAAAACATTATAATGCGGATGTTTCCTTGCTACATAAAATGAACGGTTCTTTATTACATAAAATAATATAAAAAAACCTGATTTAAAGCAAAAACAAGCTGCACATTATGTTTTGGTATTGTGTACGCTCTTCGTTACCGGATTGCATTTCCATGAAACGGTTTACGTTTCGCCATAATATATGTTGGTTTCTAACCAGTCAACCCCGTCCTATATATAGTATATGTCTTTGTTATAGATAAGGTATCATTACTTCACAAGATACTCCGGCGCCTGCTTATAGTATTTATATCAGGAAATAATTAGAAAACTGCACCCAATCAATACACAATCACATAAATCATTATAGGTGTGAAAGATAAAAGTTTCAATAAAGATATATATTTTTTTCTTTGATGAAATAACGTAATATGGCGTCATCTGTTTTCTATAGTACCGGTATATCATACAGTGAGACAAACGGTTCCTGTCAATATACGGGACAAGACATCTTCAAAACTCTAGAGTTACATTCACTTACGTTCTCTGCATCAATTGACTATGTCATCAAAACAATCAAAATTGAAGAATTAGAACAGTTTGATTCTTTGATGTACATCAGTTCACAAAACTTGCGCGGCAGCATAGCGGTAAAATTGACTGACTTTATGTCGAGTGACGCTTCTTTGTAATTTTCGGTTCCAGCGGTGTAGGGAACGTGAGTGAAAGTAACCCCACCATCATCAAGGATGGAGATAATACAAATGAATATCGTTCATACTGAATATTATATAACAATAACGTGACACAAGATTGAATAAAATCAGAATCAGAATTTAAATGGGAGACAAAACAAATACACTTTAACAAGCTTTTATTACAAGTGCAAATATCGTTTGAATAACTTTCTTTCATAATTATACTGTGTGAAAATGCACATGTATCGTCTTGCATGTACTATTGTACACAAATTCCCAAAAACAAAAAAAATGATAAATACAAAAATGACGTCTAATATGGCGATTGTATTTAAATGAATAATAAAAACAAATTGAATGGGGAAAGAAAAATAAAGTGTATATGATTTATATTGACAACACAATATGCTGTTAAGCAATTATTTGCTCATAATGTGTTAACATGAAACTAATTTATGAATATTACACAAGGAAGATAAATTTCCAACATACATATATACGTCGCAGGATTAACCAGCGACAGTGTCGTCTACAGATGTTAATTCATATGGATAATGATGCTTTCTCTGTTACACGTTTAAAGTGATGCAGGTGTATACATATTGGATGTTTCTTAGACACGAAACCAAATTGGTGACTGAAATTAAAAGTTAACTTATTCCTGTTATCTGATACAATTAAGTGTTTTAGTTTTTTCGCATTAGATTTCAAAGCTATATAAGAACAAGATACACCAGGAAACATATCGATTCAAAAAAAGCTTAAGCTACTGCGCATGTACAACATTCCTTTAGATATATGATATCATGGTCAGGTAATGATAATTTATTTCTCTATCGCGTAATACAGTGAATAAATTAAACTTGGTATAAAATAAAGGACAGTAGCATCAGTTTTTCCTGAAGTGATTGCCTCCTTTCTATTACAAATGTTTGACATGAACATCCATTCCATAGAGAAAGTGTTGAACTTTATCTGTACTGTCGGTCTTATCAATTATCCTTCATTGATGGAAGCAACCATGCTGTATATATAAGTGGAAGCATGTACAGTGTAAGAGTTAGTATGAACAGTGTTAGAGTTAGTATGTACAGTGTAATAGTTAGTATGAACAGCGTTGGAGTTAGTATGTACAGTGTAAGAGTAAGTATGTATAGTGTAAGAGTTAGTATGTACAGTGTAAGAGTTAGTATGTACAGTGTAAGAGTTAGTATGTATAGTGTAAGAGTAAGTATGTACAGTGTAAGAGTAAGTATGTATAGTGTAAGAGTTAGTAAGTACAGTGTAAGAGTTAGTATGTACAGTGTAAGAGTTAGTAAGTACAGTGTAAGAGTTAGTAGGTACAGTGTAAGAGTTAGTAGGTACAGTGTAAGAGTTAGTATATACAGTGTAAGAGTTATTATGTACAGTGTAAGAGTTAGTATATAGTCTTTATCAGCCCCTAAAGTCAAGCGAGTACTACAGGGGATCTGTTAAGATATCTTCTTATCCTGTTTTTTTTTTTTTTAATAATGTTCAACTGCTATTCCGAATATCAGTATATCTAAATACAGGTGGTTGCATCACTCCATAAAAGAAAACGAAAAGAAGAAGGAAATATACTGTGACAAGATATGGTACAGATGACCTGGCATTCGAAGCGAGAACAAGTATATGCTGGACTCTTAACTTTTCAACAAATTTGTCTTTCAGCTTTGATTTACTGTACAACATAAATGAATATCAAAATTAAATATTAGGTAGGGTACGTTTCCCTATTATCAACTTATTGTTACTTTAGAAACCCGAATATCCTAAATGATAACCTTTACTTACGCAATGTAAAATCAACTTGTTCCAAACCTAGGTATCTTAACACGTCTTAAGACGAAATATCGAAACAAGACATTTCGAAAGTATGTTGTGAATTTACAAATACTTTTGTATTTCCTGTTACCATATTAACATCTGAAACCCTAATACATACCATTATAGTTGCTAATTTTCAAGATTTTAATATCAGATTTCATGTTTTCTTTCAATTTTCTTCAGGTTTACTAAGCTTAAGACAATCGAACCCTTCGTGAATTGTGAGGACGCACTTATTCCACATCATATGAAACTAGTAAAGTAAGTGCAGATACATTGTTTGTTGATTAAAATGGTTTCTATTGCGCACAGTTTTAAATTAAGCTTATCTTTGGCGGTGAAATAACGTAATATGGCGTCATCTGTTTTCTATAGTACCGGTATATCATACAGTGAGACAAACGGTTCCTGTCAATATACGGGACAAGACATCTTCAAAACTCTAGAGTTACATTCACTTACGTTCTCTGCATCAATTGCCTATGTCATCAAAACAATCAAAATTGAAGAATTAGAACAGTTTGATTCTTTGATGTACATCAGTTCACAAAACTTGCGCGGCAGCATAGCGGTAAAATTGACTGACTTTATGTCGAGTGACGCTTCTTTGTAATTTTCGGTTCCAGCGGTGTAGGGAACGTGAGTGAAAGTAACCCCACCATCATCAAGGATGGAGATAATACAAATGAATATCGTTCATACTGAATATTGTATAACAATAACGTGACACAATATTGAATAAAATCAGAATCAGAATTTAAATGGGAGACAAAACAAATACACTTTAACAAGCTTTTATTACAAGTGCAAATATCGTTTGAATAACTTTCTTTCATAATTATACTGTGTGAAAATGCACATGTATCGTCTTGCATGTACTATTGTACACAAATTCCCAAAAACAAAAAAAATAATAAATACAAAAATGACGTCTGATATGGCGATTGTATTTAAATGAATAATAAAAACAAATTGAATGGGGAAAGAAAAATAAAGTGTATATGATTTATATTGACAACACAATATGCTGTTAAGCAATTATTTGCTCATAATGTGTTAACATGAAACTAATTTATGAATATTACATAAGGAAGATAAATTTCCAACATACATATATACGTCGCAGGATTAACCAGCGATAGTGTCATCTACAGATGTTTATTCATATGGATAATGATGCTTTCTCTGTTACACGTTTAAAGTGATGCAGGTGTATACATATTGGATGTTTCTTAGACACGAAACCAAATTGGTGACTGAAATTAAAAGTTAACTTATTCCTGTTATCTGATACAATTAAGTGTTTTAGTTTTTTCGCATTAGATTTCAAAGCTATATAAGAACAAGATACACCAGGAAACATATCGATTCAAAAAAAGCTTAAGCTACTGCGCATGTACAACATTCCTTAAGATATATGATATCATGGTCAGGAAATGATATTTTATTTCTCTATCGCGTAATACAGTGAATAAATTAAACTTGGTATAAAATAAAGGACAGTAGCATCAGTTTTTCCTGAAGTGATTGCCTCCTTTCTATTACAAATGTTTGACATGAACATCCATTCCATAGAGAAAGTGTTGAACTTTATCTGTACTGTCGGTCTTATCAATTATCCTTCATTGATGGAAGCAACTATGCTGTATATATATATAAGAGTTAGTACGTACAGTGTAAGAGTTATTTCGTACAGTGTAATAGTTAGTATGAACAGTGTTAGAGTTAGTATATACAGTGTAAGAATAAGTATGTATAGTGTAAGAGTTATTATGTACCGTGTTAGAGTAAGTATGTATAGTGTAAGAGTTATTATGTACCGTGTAAGAGTTAGTATGTACAGTGTAAGAGTTACTGTGTACAGTGTAAGAGTTAGTATGTACAGTGTAAGAGTTATTAGGTACCGTGTAAGAGTTAGTATGTACAGTGTAAGAGTTATTATGTACCGTGTAAGAGTTATTATGTACCGTGTAAGAGTAAGTATTTACAGGGTAAGAGTTAGTATGTACAGTGTAAGAGTTAGTATGTACAGTGTAAGAGTTATTATGTACAGTGTAAGAGTTAGTATGTACAGTGTAAGAGTTAGTATGTACAGTGTAAGAGTTAGTATGTACAGTGTAAGAGTTAGTATGTACAGTGTAAGAGTTAGTATGTACAGTGTAAGAGTTAGTATGTACAGTGTAAGAGTTAGTATGTACAGTGTAAGAGTTAGTATGTACAGTGTAAGAGTTAGTATGTACAGTGTAAGAGTTAGTATGTACAGTGTAAGAGTTATTATGTACCGTGTAAGAGTTAGTATGTACAGTGTAAGAGTTAGTATGTACAGTGTAAGAGTTAGTATGTACAGTGTAAGAGTTAGTATGTACAGTGTAAGAGTTAGTATGTACAGTGTAAGAGTTAGTATGTACAGTGTAAGAGTTAGTATGTACAGTGTAAGAGTTAGTATGTACAGTGTA